GCATTCTCAATGAGAAATTCCAAACTGAAACTGTGTTGTGAACTACTCCTTATGTCTTTAACTCTATTGTCTAGCTATTCAATCAGAATTTCATTGAAATTCCTCATAGAAGGAATCTTAGTGTAGTGTTATAAAAAAATCCAGCCTTGATATAGATCTTTTCTGAAGTGTACCTACAGTAAACTCGCAATAGGAGCGACTAGTCGTGAGTGCTGCCCTACCGGTATGCCACTCACGACTAGTCATTCCATGACTCATTTATTAAGTGTCTGTTTATATTAACTTCTTCGAGTCATAGTGGTGAGTAGTTCCATGAGTCATAACTTCAGCTTAAAGAAATGCGAATAATTGAATACTAAGTCAGAATAGTTGCAATGCGAGTAGACTTAGATACCGATAATGTCGAATTGACTAAAAGTTGAAATTGGGTATCAGCGGTACTTTCGAGGGTCGGAGTGCGTTCTGAGTGTAGGTATGTGCCTGGGTGTGTTGATTCGCTTCTGCCCCACATCCCATACCCTGAAAATATAGGGTTGTCCGGGGAAGTCCGTGCAACTCATATTCTATAAAATCGTGCGATAACAAGTGATGTATTTATTCAGTGTAATGGCCTTCGCTACCAACCACACACTGTCAACCATCCTGCAAACTGCCAATGCCATTAGAAACATTTAAATAAATACAGCACTTGTTATAGTATGGTTTCATAGAATAGGAGCTACACGAACTTTCTGGACAACCCTATACATTTATTGTTCAGAGTATGTTAGCTGATAGAAATGCTGTGTCATCACCAAAAACGTAATTATTATTATCTTCTCTTTTCAATTCTTTCACATGTTTAGGAAATCCGAGAATGCATTAATCTCTCGACTTCCTCTATATAAAATAGAATTATATTTCTTTTATTGAAAAATAAAATCTCATCTTTTTTTTTCCAGTGAACAACCTACATGGACAAGAATAAATAATACTTGAATGGATGCATGTATTAAATCATCACCAAGTAAATAAAGTACTGCTCTTGAATTCTATAGATCATTTGCTTCTTGACCTTCAATTCAAATAACTATTCCATCATCACCACCAACACCTCTTCCTGTTTCTTCGATTGTTAGTTCACTATCAAGTATATCACCACCTCAATCACGTATATCAATATCAACAAAAAATTCTTCACCATAATCAATAGCTATTGATTTTTTTCTAATCGATTAGATCGTCTTATTATTTATTTTGATTTAATATATCAACATTGTATGATTTATACTTATTTCCCAACACCTCATTTTATACATTCGAATTGTTATGAATTATTTAATATTCAACAAAAATGAAATTCATCTCTCAACAACATGAGAATAAAGTATTAATATTATAAAATTGAAATAATTTTTATAAAAACAATTTAATTGAGCACAAATTTTCAGTTAAATAAGACTTACACGACGGATAAAAACATTTCATCGATATCTAATTAAAACAAAATTTTATTTTATTTTATTGCTTTTTTTTCTTTTTCAGTATTACCTAACAGATATATGAAATAATAGAAATGAATTTCCTATCAAAGGAAGAACTACAGACACATTAATCATACAAGAATAAATAACAGTAGAGATTGACGATGTATTCATATCAGCTCCAATTAATACGGAACCGATAATAACAAACATGTTCGATGCCGACGGCGTGTTTAATATAAAAGAAAGTACGGATATCAATATACTTATATTGACGTTTTCTAACAATAAATCTTCTACATTTTTGTTTTTTACAGACAAATTCTCCATATTATTAAGTAAAAAAGTTACGCGTTCATAATATGTACGAATAAAGAAAATCACCCCTACATAAATTCAAAAGTTTTCGTCATTCAAGAAAAATTTGTTGATCTATATCCATCAATAATTGTTTTTTACCTAACATGAATATTGTGTCTTTTTATGATAAGAAGTCTATTTTATTTCTTTATTTTATTTATCTGATTAATATCAAGAGCTATTAATATTTATTTTTCTCTATTTTCTACTGTTGATCATTGTTAAAAAAGATTATCATCTAATAGTTGTTGTGATCGTTATATTTTATATGAAAATAACGAAGTTGACATTTCAAGATAAGATTATCTTTCAAATACGAAAAATCACGTTCAATAAATTGATGAATTTCATGTTCTTTGACTAAATCTTTCACAATCGTACTTAAGTGAGACAATTTTCTCTGTCGATAAACATAACCATCATAGATTGGAAGAGCTTTATGAGCTTGATTACTTTGTAAACCTAATACACATATTATTTGTTGTTGCTAAACGATCAAGATGTTCGATATCTTCGTCTGATTTCCTACTAGTTGAACATGTTATAGAATGACGAATGTTGCAAGTTAAGAAAACAAATAATTGACTGGATGGAACGGATCGATTACGAAAAGAAGGTAAAAGTATTCTTTAAAAGTATAGATAAATTCTATTAACTTTCAAAAGAAAGCAAATTAGACGAGGAAGAAATTGAAAGTTATTAACCATGGAAAAAAAGATCTCGCTTCATTTCAACACCAACTTTTTTTTTTTAGATTTAAATTCTATTTTTATCATAATCTTGCATCGTGGTGCGAAAACAGATAGTACCATCTTGTCCATTTCTATGAAACCAGTGAGAATGATGTTCTTCATAAGAATTTTTCATATCATAATGGTTTTAAACATACATCAATATTGTAGAGATGTCAGTTGAAAAGTTTTACCATAGGAAATTTATACAAAGAAATTATCTTTTAAATCGAACATGTTTGATACTTTAATTACTAATCTACCATATCTCTAATGAACAGAACGTTATTTTAATCTTTTCTTACTTATAGATGGAAACCACGTTGTTTTTTGATTGAATTCAAACTTTATGAATAGATGATTCTTCTGTATACATAATGTCTTTCTGAGAATATTCATTTAATATATAGATTAATTGAACACGTTGATCGTTGACACTTTTTTTATTTAGTGTATTGTATAATATGACATCCTACAATGAATATGTTATTTCATAGAACGAAAAGGAAGAAATATTATTAAAGCCATGAGAAAAAAATCACAATTTTAAGAATAAATGTCGGTGAAAATCTTTCTCTTGTTTCAGTGTGTCTATGCTGGCATCCCACTCCTCCTCTTTTTCCTCTTTTTTTTCTATAACTCCTCTTTTTGTCCTCTTTTTTGGAGAAAATCCTCTTTTTCCTCTTTTTTCACGAAAACTGGTACCTATCGAGGAAAGATTTCTTATAATTGACGTATTCGGTTGCTCAAAGGTTGTTTGATACTTGTGAACAAACATCCACTTCTTGTTTCATGCCATCCAAACAAATACGAACTCGAATATATAGTATATTTGTTACACATATAAGGAGTAAGCTATTTTCGACTTGGAAACAGACTTCGACTCTGAATGTTTTTCCAAAGCCTTTAACTCAGGCCCCGCGCGAGCGGGGGTTTTAGGGGAGTGTGCACCCCCCAAAAACCAAAAAATTTCAGTTTTTTCCGTTCACAAATGCAGATTTTGTCTACATTTTATAATTTTTCTGCAAAATTTTTCTGAAAATTCTTCCTTACACCCCCCTAATATTTGATCCTTCGCGCGGGCCCTGGTCCTACCGATGAGTAAAGTATGAGTTCAAGCAGAAAATATCAATCAGATAGATCCACTAATAAAATTAAAACAATTCTATTATACTTCATATGTTAATTACTTTTAATAGTATAACGAGAAAGAAAATTAATATTGCACAAGTTTCGTCGTTTTGTTCCATTTTAAGTTTTGTTCTTCTAATCGATATGCTTTAGAAGTGTTTTTTCTCAAAAGTCATATCTTGATAGAAAAATATTTACTAAAAGAATTGATTTAAATATTGTTTACATGTGAAAATAATTAAATTTAAAGTTGTACAAGTTACGAGAATCTTCAAATATTTACTTCAATCTTAACAGAGGTAGTCGAACGACCATCAATTGCTAGTTAGAACACAAGTGCTTCTCTTGTTTTGATTGGAGAGTGGCAGGTGGTGCCCTCACTATAGGTGCGTCGTGCTATCAAAAATAAACGATGCCAATAAAGTCGCTGCACTTTTCACTATGCTTCCCAGAATAAGAGAGGAACGAAGGTTCTAGTTTCATTGTTAGCAACTCTACTGGTTATTTGTATCCCAGATAATACAGTACACGAAGCGACGACGCCACCTGTCACTGTCTAATGTAAACAAGAGAAGCGCTAATGTTCTGGTGGCTCCACCGCTAGCTAAACTAATGTAGCTTTGATCAATTTATATGGCTTGTAAAGTAAGATGAGTAAACAAAACGACAAGGTGTCATACGTAGCAATGAAAATATTCATATATTTTCTTGTTCTTCTTCGTCGATGAAACACAGAACATAAAAAATAATAATAATATTGATTATTGTAAAAAAAGCATGTACATAACTGATCAGTTAAATCAAATGTAATATGACGCAAAATATTTCTTACTTATGAAGGCCATTCAACACCTTTCGTGACACAAATTTGTTTTTTTTTGTGACTATTATATAGTCTGATGTAGTATCTATCTATTGAGTACAAAATTGTCTTTAAAACATTAAAAACTCGAATTTATATAGCGGAAATATCGAATCGCGGCTTTTTTTCAAACGAACTTTTTTATGAACAAAAAAATACACAAATATTTTTGTTTCTTCAGTCTAATACGTCCGATCTAGGCGAAACTCTTTTTTGGAATAGGTATTTTTTGTTTTTATTATTTTGCTGATTCTTAGTAGCGCTGACAAAAAAGGCTCTATTGAAAAAAAACATACAGTTTTTTTTTTAGAGTATCTTCCTTTTTTATTCGAAAAATAAAAAGAGGCATTACCCAAACACTGTCTAGTGTCTGTAAAAAAATCTTCAGCTCGATCAAACGTGGCATGTCAGAAAAATGACAGCATCTATCTACTTGGAGAATTTCAAATTTTTATGATGAACCGTTCTCCAGAAATCCCGGAAATAGTCGGAGGTACTTCTAACACGTAAGAGGTCAAATTCAGTTATAAGTAAAACATAAATTTCATATATAAATTTATAATAAAATTTTTTTTTCTCACAAGAGAAGACTGCTGATTTTCTATTTTCATGTTTCAGGAAGTCTTCTATTAGATTTTTCTTCTTTGTTTAATAAATAATAATTAAAAAGGTTTGTTAGGTAACAATGGCAGGAGAAGTATTCGAAAGTTTTGTCAAGATTAAAAACAATGCAGAAATAATTTTTGCTTAAATATTCATTTATTTCAAACTCATATTTCAGAAAATCAGGTATACATTCAATTAAATACATTGAATAAAGGCATCATTTCTTAATTAACGTATTCAGAGAAAGTATTCTATTATGCCTGAGGCATCATCTTTTTAGAAAACATTCTATTATGCGGCAGTTCTCATCTACGATGAGTGTTCTCTTATAGATAGACAATGAAAAGTTAAGATTACAATTTTGGAAAACTTAAACGAAAATCTAGTTTCTAAACTTAAAAATATAAGATCTTTCGCTTTTTTTTACAGGTTCACATAAAGGTACATCTTTTCGTCCACTTAAATGGACAGTACCAGAACGTAATCAATCGGTATATTTATTATGTGTATGTAAATATACAAAATGTCCACCTATATGTGATGCAACTCATATTGGTTTAACAAGTACAATTCAAAAACAAATTGAAAATTGTCCATTAAAACAAGAACATTCTAATATTGGTGATAAAAAGCTCTGTCAACAATGTGGTTTTGTACCAGATTGGTAACAGAAATGTGTTGTTTTCTTTTTCTTGTTATTCATTTAAAATATAAGAATACAATTATAATACCGGTCTAAAAATATTATTTCAAATAATTTTATTTTTTTCATCGTTGTGTATGTGTATTTTCTTTTTCTCTCATTTTGGACAGTATACACACATATACGTCAAAGAATTAATATGAAGGAATGCGTGGAAAAGTACGCAGAGAGAAAAAGAAATGCATAAAAGATACATGCACATGTACAGTGTAGTAAACATTAGAAAAAAAAAAAACCAAAAAACAAACATTTAAAGAAATTGAACAAATATCAAAAACAACAGGAAAACCCAAACACTATGTGAGTACATGTGTATAGATTGTGCATTGTCTTAAAAATTACAATCATTTGTTGCATGTTAACTTTGAATTTGGGTACAAAAAAAAAAAAAAACAAAAGAATGTATCACAATAGTACTCTATTTTTGCTTTGCTATATAGCCATTGTTCTGTTCTGTTTTGAGTATCACAAGGGTACGCATAAAATAAAACGAAAGAAAAAACAAAACCCAAAAAAATATCACACTGTTGCTAGATAAAAAGAAAACAACGAGAAAGAGATTCGGGAATAGCAAATAGAAAGAAAAAAAAAAAAAAAAAAAGAAAGAAGTGGACGGATTTTGAAATAGTAATAAGAAAACACATATATAAATATTGATATACTTGTGCAATTAGAAATAACCCACCCATTTAAAACCC